TTATGGGGGTGTGCAGGGGGGAAGGGGGTTATGGGGGTGTGCAGGGGGGAAGGGGGTTATGGGGGTGTGCAGGGGGGAAGGGGGTTATGGGGGTGTGCAGGGGGGAAGGGGTTATGGGGGTGTGCAGGGGGGAAGGGGGTTATGGGGGGTGTGCAGGGGGGAAGGGGGTTATGGGGGTGTGCAGGGGGGAAGGGGGTTATGGGGGTGTGCAGGGGGGAAGGGGGTTATGGGGGTGTGCAGGGGGGAAGGGGGTTATGGGGGTGTGCAGGGGGGAAAGGGGGTTATGGGGGTGTGCAGGGGGGAAGGGGGTTATGGGGGTGTGCAGGGGGGGAAGGGGGTTATGGGGGTGTGCAGGGGGGAAGGGGGTTATGGGGGTGTGCAGGGGGGAAGGGGGTTATGGGGGTGTGCAGGGGGGAAGGGGGTTATGGGGGTGTGCAGGGGGGAAGGGGGTTATGGGGGTGTGCAGGGGGGAAGGGGGTTATGGGGGTGTGCAGGGGGGAAGGGGGTTATGGGGGTGTGCAGGGGGGAAGGGGGTTATGGGGGTGTGCAGGGGGGGGAAGGGGGTTAGGGGGTGGCAGGGGGGAAGGGGGTTATGGGGGTGTGCAGGGGGGAAGGGGGTTATGGGGGTGTGCCAGGGGGGAAGGGGGTTATGGGGAGTGTGCAGGGGGGAAGGGGGTTAGGGGGTGTGCAGGGTGGAAGGGGGTTATGGGGGTGTGCAAGGGGGTTATGGGGGGTGCAGGGGGGAAGGGGGTTATGGGGGTGTGCAGGGGGGAAGGGGGTTATGGGGGTGTGCAGGGGGGAAGGGGGTTATGGGGGTGGTGCAGGGGGGAAGGGGGTTATGGGGTGTGTGCAGGGGGGAAGGGGGTTATGGGGGTGTGCAGGGGGGAGGGAGGTGGTTATGGAGTGATTTGGTTGTAGGTATATGCTATATACGGATATGCGTTTATCAGTTTGATTAATTTTGCGATTCGTCTCTCTCTTCTCTCTCTCTGTCTCTGTCTGCCTTTCTGTCTCTCTCTCTCTCTCTTGTCTCTCTCTTTGTCTTTCTGTTTCTTTGTCTCTCTCTTTGTCTTTCTGTTTCTTTTTCTGTCTGTCTCTCTATCTATCTATCTATCTGTCTGTCTTTCTGTCTCTCTCTCTCTCTCTTTGTCTCTCTGTCTCTCTCTTTGTCTTTCTGTTTCTTTTTCTGTCTTTCTGTCTCTCTCTGTCTTTTTGTCTTTCTCTTTGTCTTTCTGTCTCTCTGTGTCTATCTCTCTTTGTCTGTCTGTCTCTCTTTCACACACACACACACACACACCTGGGCAGCGTAGGAGTGGATGTCCGTGCAGGAAGCGCCTGCTGGGGGTAGGCTGTCCCATGGTCGAAGGCGTTGCGGTCCATCGCCGGGGCTGCACTTCCCTCGGTCCGCCCGGAGTACCTGGGTGTTAGTCCTGTTATTGTGGCGTGGCTAGGAGGGGGTAGGGGGGAGAGAGGGGGAGGGGGGGGCTATCTGAGTGGGGTTATTTGAGGGGGAGGGGGGGCAATGGAGAGGGGTAACCAGTAGACAGGGCCCCCTCTGTTAACATTTTTTTTTTTAAACTAAAGAAAACTAAGGAAAGTCCCCCCTTCAAAATATTCATATGAAAATCAAAATACAATTATAGCCTTTTGTATGGATCTTCAACACTTTCCTGCTTTCTACACTTTTATATATCCTCATTCTCAAAAAGAGAGTGGAAAAAAAAAACATTAATTCCAAGGGCCATACCAATAACAAGAAAACCCATGACAAAAAAAAAAAAGCCTAAGCATAAACAAGCACAAACATAATAGTAAAACTAACGCAACTTACATATGACCACCAACTAACCAACAACTACTATTCAAACTAGAAGAAAGCGATACCAATACAAAACACAAACCGAAAGTCGCTCATATATTGGTACCAAACAACCAGTCAACCAAATAAAAAAAAGAACTTACAATTAATACCAACCAATATCAACCCGAAAACTGGAATAGACAATAATAACAACCAACCAGATAGAACAAGAACACCCAAAATAAAAACAAAAAACAATAAAATATATATAACACAGAAACAGGGACAAGACACTCAAATAACCAAAGGATACTAGGGGCAAAGACCGGAACCAAAAACTCAAAGACTCAGATATTAGTGCCAAATGCTGTAACTCGAGAGCCGACGAGTGCCAGCAAAAGGACCAACCAAACAACTGAAAAAAAGAAGAAGGGATAGAAGAAAAACAGAGGGAGACTAACCATCCAACCGAAAAAAAATGAAAAGAAGAAGGGGAAAAAAACACACACAGCCCTAGATAAAATCCTGGACAATGCATTCGTATATTAGTCCTAACCAACCCAAACTAAAAAAACGAATAAAACGAATAAAACAAGAACAACAACAACAATAAAAACGGAAAGAAAACGGGGCCAGTCAAGAGCCTTTACCCGATCACCAGCGAACGAAAAAACGAGAGAAAAATAGCAACCAATGTAACAGCCAAAAAAAGAAAGTGAGAAAAACCATTGTAAACAAGAGAGGAAAGAATAGCAACAATATAACAATAAGAGAGAGCGTGAGAGTGAGAAACAATAACAACACATACCCAAAAAACAAAAACATGTGAAAAAGAACACCCAACTTAACAACCATAAAAGAGAGAGAGAAAAAAAAACACAACCAACATACCCCCACCCCTTAATAAACAAACAAACAAATAAATAAAATAAAACAAATAAAAAAGGGGTGCCATTCACTTACATATTAGTGCCAAGTGTCGTGACCCGATCCCCGACGAGTGCCAGCGACCCGACGGGCAGCGAGGGTGCGTGGTGCCCTCCCGTCACGAACCTCTTTAAGCTCGTCACCTCCTCCTTGCTGTCGAATATGCGGACGCTGCCGGGAACCTCCGTGCCTGTGGGGGGGGGGGGGGGTGGAAAGGGTGAGAGGGAGGGATGGGGATGATGTGGGTAAGGGGGGGGGGGAGGGTGAGACGTGGGGATAGGGAGGAGGTGGGTGAGAGGTGGGGGTGGGGAGGGGGTGGGTGAGACGTGGGGATAGGGAGGGAATGGGTGAGACGTGGGGATAGGGAGGAGGTGGGAGAGAGGTGGGGGAGGGGAGGGGGTGGGTGAGACGTGGGAATAGGGATGGGGTGGGTGAGAGGTGGGGGTGGGGAGGGGGTGGGTAAGACGTGGGGATAGGGAGAGGGTGGGGGTGGGGAGGGGATGGGTGAGACGTGGGGATAGGGATGGGGTGGGTGAGAGGTGGGGGTGGGGAGGGGATGGGAAGGTGAGAGGTGAGGACGGTAGGAAGTGGATAGGGATGGGGAAGGGAAGAGAGGGAAGGAAGACGTGAGAATGATAAGGAAAGGAACGGGATGGAAGGGGAGAAGAGGGAGGGGTCGAAAGGAAAGAGGGAGGAGAGGAATAGGGAGAAAGAGGGAAGAGGTGTGGTGAAAAGGTATGATGGGAAGGGAGAGAGAATAATAATGATGATTACAGAGTACAAAATATATTCATTACTTAAGGATATGCATGAAGAGAAAGAAGAAAAAAACGGGAGTAATATCGCTTCCACTCAATAGATGGCTCTGCACACAATACACGATTATTATTTAACATTATCCGGCATCTAGTGTCAGAGAATGATATTTTATCCTCGGTTTTATGTCTGTTCCTTCCACTCTGTTTCCGTCGCCGCCTTTCCTGAATAAACAACAGATTCATCAACATAGCAACGTGACCTGCGTATTCCGATAATGTGTGAGTATGGGAATTCGTTAAATTTTGGAAATTACGTCTTGCACCGATTTTCCAATGAATAATATATTTGTCCAATAGTTTTCGTCGTGTTTCGAACGAATCTAGCACTCATTCCCTTCGCAAACGAAGCACAGCTACAAACTCGGTTCCAATAAGTGGGGAGGGCATGGTACATATCGGGGATTTTTTTTTTTTTTTTTTTTTTTTTTTTTTTTTGGGGGGGGGGGAATTTCGAATATCGGTAATACAAGGGAGAGCACAATATATCCACTCGCTTCCAGGCTATACAGGGGTTTTCACCCCCTGTATAAGCGAAGAGCTTGATGTACAAAATCTTCATCTCATATGTTCCGGCAGAATAGAGCCCAGGCAAGCAACAAATTCTGACACGTTTTCGGGTGATATAGGGGGCTTCGCTCTCTTAAACCCCCTTTTGGGGGGCTACCGCCCTCCCATCCCCCAACTGGTCCACGAAATCTTCACCTCATATGTTCCGGCGGGAGAGAGCCGAGACCCAGCAACAGTTTACCCACACCTAACCTCAAGCATTATCTCGGGGTCTCCCAGGTCGTCGTTGACGGGAATCGTGATCGCTCTTTCCTTATCGGACAGCGGAGGGTACGTTTCGCGGCCTTGACGAAAAGCTGATGATAGACTGGTATCTGTCTTTTCGAAGTGAAGAGGAATCTAATTGGCTGATTTGATTTCCCTCGCCTACGTCGAGCGCTACAAATCCGTCCGATTTTCCGTCGCTTCCAACGACTTTTTATCATTTTTTGCGGCGTTGGGGGTGTAAGGTTTCTGCGTTTCCTGGATTTTACACCTTCTTTATTACCGTCATTATGAATTTGCGAAGAAAGTAATGTAGAAGAAAGCTTTCCTAGAATAATTTGTTTTACTATTCGGTAACTCTGCATTAGTCCACTATAACAAACAGCATATCTCGTGATCTTGCAGGTTATTGTATTTCCTATCTGTTTTGTTTTTTGTTTTTTCGTGGAGGATATCTCTCTTCAAGGGCCAAGATTGTGGAGGTTTATGTAAGGGGTTTTAGTAAAATATTTCCTGTATATTGAATTGATGGTGACGGTGATAGTGATAATGATAGTGATGGCAATTGTGATGAAGATGATGATAGTGATGGTGATGATGAATATAACTGATGATAAGGATAATAATGATGGTGGTGAATATAACTAATGATAATAATGATAAAGACGATAGTGAATATTACAATGACGATGATGCCAGTGACAGCAACAACAACCACTTCAACCTCCAATCCCTCACCATACGGCACAGCTCCGTCGGTGTCGATGACGAAGGCGCCCGAAGGATTCTGCTGGTTCTCCTTCAGGAAGAGCGACACGCGGATACGAAGGTCCTGCACGAAACCCAGGAGGGCGTGGCGGATGCTCGCGAGCTCTCCCATGTTCATTTTGCCGTAGGTCTGTTTGGGCGTGGAGGGTGGGAGGGATGGGAGGGGGAGGAAGGGTAAGAGTTTAGGGAGCAGAGAGGGGAGGAGGAGTTTAGAGAGGTGGGAGGGAGGGGGGGGAGAAGTTTAGGGAGGTGGGAGGGAGGGGGAGGGGTTTAGGGAGCAGGGAAGGGAGGGAGGGGGGGAGTTTAGGGAGGTGGTAGGGAGGGAGGGGGGGAGGAGTTTAGGGAACAGGGGGGGGATGAAGAGTGAGGATGAGGAGTTTAGGGAGGAAGGGGAGGAGTTTAGGGACGAGGGGGAGGAGGGGGTGGGGTGCGAGGGCAGGGAAAGAGCAGAGGGAACAAAATGAGGTACATTGTTACAGTTATTATTATCATTATCATTATTAATATCATTATTACTAATATTGCTGCTGCTGCTACTATTATTACTATATCTTTGCCATCATTTTCATTAATATATTTATTTGTAGTTATATTAGTATTATCATTATAACCATTATTGTTATCATTATCATTATAGCAATGATCAGAACTATTATTTTCATAATTATTATCATTATTGCCGGTTATTCTAATTATTATCATCACTATCTACTCTCATTATCATCATTATATTATCTAATCTCGTTATTATCATTATCATTACCTATTTTCATTAAAACTATCATTATTGCCATTACCGCCCCCAATATCCCATTGAACTCCTCCCCCCCAGGCTTCCCCCTTAAAGCCAAGCCACCCCCCCCCTTAAATCCTTCCTCCCTCTCCCAAGCCAAGTCACGCCCCCCAAATATCCCCGCAAATTCCCGCCACCACAAAAAATAACAACAATAGTAATATAAATGATAATAATAATAATAATAATAATAATGATAATAGTAATGATAATGATAATAATAATGATAATGATAATAATAATGATAATAATAATAATAATAATGATAATAATAACAACAACAATAATAATAATAATGATAACGATAATAAAAAAACAATAATAATAATAATAATAATAATGATAATAATAATCGTAATCATAATAATAACCGTAATAATAATAATAATAATCGTAATAATAATAATAATCGTAATAATAATAATAATAATAATAATGTCAACAACAATAACAATAACAACAATAACAATACCCCCCTCTCCATTCCCCACCCACCCCTCCGTCCAAACTCAATCCCCCGCCCACCTGCGTGAAGAGGAGCGCCGTCCCTTCCACCTGAGCGAGGACGGGCGTGGACGTGGCGAATCCCCTGAGGGCGTCCAGATGGTTGAGGGTCAGGAGGAGCAGGTCGCGCGGGTGGGGGGCGAGGAGGACCTGGTGCTTCATCGCCATCACCATCAGGTCGTAGAGCTGTTGGGATGGGGGGGGGGGGGTGAGGGAGGAGGGAGAGTGGAAGGAGGTGAGGGAGGGAAGGATGTGAGGGAGAAGGGAGGGAAAGAGGGAGGTGGGAAGGAAAGAGGGAGGTGGGGGAGGAAGATTGGAAGGAGGTGAGGGAGAAGGGAGGGAAGGAGGGAGGAGGGAAGGAAAGAGGGAGGTGAGGGAGGAGGGAGATTAGAAGGAGGGAAGGAGAAGGGAGGGAAAGAGGGAGGAGGGAAGGAGGTGAGGGAGGAGGGAGGGAAGGAGATGAGGGAGAAGGGAGGGAAGGAGGTGAGGGAGGAGGGAAGGAAAGAGGGAAAGAGGTGAGGGAGGAAGGAGGGAAGGAGGGAGGTTGGAAGGAGGTGAGGAGTTGGAGAAGGATAGGATGGAGGGAGGTGAGGGAGGAAGGAGGAAGGTAAGGGACGAGGGAAGGAGGAAGGAGAGGGAGAAGGGAAGAAGGTGAGAAAGATGAGGGAAGGTGGGAGGGGAAAGGAAAGAAGGTGAAGATAAGGGAGGAAGGGAGAAGGGAAAGAGAGGAAGGAGGGAGGAATGGGTATTATAAAGAGGAAAGAAGGAAGGTGAGGGAGAAGGAAGAGAAAAGGGAAGGAGATGAGGGAAGGAAAAAGGGAGGGAGAGAGAAGGGAGGTTGGACAAGAGGTGAGGGAGGGAGGGAAAGAGGGACAGGGAGAAAAAAGGTAATAAGGGAAGGGAGAAAGAAGGAAAGCAGAGAGAAGGGAAAAGAGAGGGAGGGAGGAGGTGTGAGAAGGGTAAGGGAAGAGAAAGAGGGGGGAGGTAGAGGGAGGATATGGAAGAAGGAGGGAGATGAGAGAGACAGGGAGAAAGGCAGAAGGGAGAGACAGGAAGAGAATAGGAATAAGAGAGATAATGAAAGAGGACCGGTAGGAGATGAGAGAAGGAAAGGGGAG